CAGTGGAGACACAGCTGGCACACAGTAGGTGCCTCCAAATGGCGTCCTTCCTCACTTTCCCCAGGAGAGAAGCTTCCTTGGTCCCTCTGGGGGATTTGGAGGTGGGAAGGTCCTGCCAAAAGGACCTGGTGCTGGGACATCAGCAGGCCCAAGGCGGGACATCTTGGAAGCCAGATGGCCAGGCTTCAAATCCCAGATCTACTAATTATTACCTCTATGTGAGCTTGGGCAAGTCTTTTAACTTCTCTGAGCCTCAGTTTCCTCATCTGTAAAACAGTTGCTATAAAGATAACATGTAAAGCCCTAGGACAGAGCCTGAAAATTGATTAGTGCCATGCAAATATTAGCTGTTATGCTTCTTCTGTTTATTATCATTGTTATTATTGCTGTTAGCACAGCCTGGTGATTGGTGTCTCCCCACGCATCCCCAGCCATCGAGTGCTGCCCTCCCTCTCTGAGCTCCCAGCCCCTTGGAGCAGCAGGCAGTAAATTTCTCCTATCTCCTCATAAACCGAGCCTTCCTCTGCTCAGCCATCACCTGGCTGGCAGCGCTGTCAAAAAGACAGATGCCACATCTGCCTTGTTTATGACCTTAATTCCCAAACCCTGCTCAGCGGGCTCTCAGGGAGGGGTTGGGGAAGGAGAAGGGAGGCAGGCACTGACTTTCCACAGGCTGACGGCTGCAGGTTCGCCCCTCACAGTGACCCTGTCCTGCATGGTGTGGGCGGTCTGTGGGCCATCTGTGAGTTTGGCCTGTGGGTCAGCTCCCATCCTCCCCGGGAAGCCTGGAGGGAGGAGCACACAGGGGGGCAGAGCTGTCGAGGAGCTGAGCAGGGCAACAGGATTCCCATTACAGATGAGGCAGCTGGGTCACCTGCCCAAGGTCACAAGGCTAGCACACAGCACAGGATTCCCATCCAGGTCTTCAATTCTGATGGGTATGCAGCTGAAAAAGAGAGTGTGCCCACCCAAGCTCCGTCCCTTCCCACCTTTGCACACAGCACAGCTCTGTCCCCAGTTGCACACCGGCCACTCAGAAGCTTTTTCTCTGCAGCAGGTGGAGGTTCCAGGACTCAAGGCCCTCACTGACATACCCTGTCTCCTCACGCCCCGGTGGGATGACAGAGGGGCTTGCTCCTTTTTGACCCCACAGTCCCTGCAGGGGCGTAAGCTTCAGCGGCTCCCAGTGGTATCCTGAGTGATATGGTGCCCTTTACCACCACCTCCTCTCCCTTTCCTGGAATCTCTTCCCAAATAAAATGTTGGGTCCTAAACCCTTCCCCCAGTCCCACCCCAGTGTAACTTAAGGCAGCCCTGAGGTCTGGTGGGCTCTTCCTACAGGGTGGGCTGCTCCTTTCCACCCTCCCAAAGCGCTGGCCACCCATTGGCAGAGGTGGGAAGGAATGTTTTTAGCGAAGCAAAGAACAGGAGTGGTGCGTGCTCCATGTGAGATCTTGGGTGGTGGGTGTGGGAGAAGGCTGTGGAACAGAGACAGGCAGAGCTGACTCAGGATCCACCAGCAAGGATCCACCCTGGAAGAGGGCAGGAGAGGCTCTGTCACAGCCGGGAGGTAGAGACACAGTCCTCTAAGACTCCAAGCAGAGAGAGGCCGAGGAGTGGGAGGAGAAAGAGAGAGGTGCACGGGCAAGAACTGCACAGGCTCTCTAGCCAGGCTGCCTGGGTGAATTCACTCTGTTGACTCTAGCACTGGGATGTTTGTGACTTACCTCAGTTTCCTCTTCTATAAAATGAATATGACCTGTGGCTGTGGAAACCATCCACTCTCTGGATGGCACCCTCCCTTCTCCAGGATCCACAGCAGACAGAAATGGTTGGTACCAACAGAACTGGGCTATTAAATTACCCAACTGTCTGTCTCATCCACCTCTCTCTTCCTCCGTATGTCAACACTGGCCACCATTCTGCCAGCACCCACCACATACACCATTTTCCAGGATCCTCCTCATATATTTTGTCCTCACAACCATGGAGATGGGCTATGACTTCCCTGTTCTACAGACAAGCATCTAAGGCTCAGAGAAGTTAAGTAGCTTGTCCCAGGTCACACAGCATGGAGGAGAATCTGGACAGGGATTGGATCCTTCCCTACCCCTCCTCCCAGGCATCCAATCCTCCGGTCTTCTCCCAGCTCACCCCTGGGCAGGGGTAAGGAAAGCCAGAGCTGCCTCCCTCCCCAAAGTTCCACATTATGAGAAGATCCTGGCACTCACCTCCCCCAGAGATAGACAGGCTCACCCTGCCTCATCTGGGGCTGTACAAGGCCCCTGACCAGCCTCTGCTGAGGCTCCTAATGCAGCAAGAAGGACTTGGGTTAGCTGTGACGTGCTGTCCCTCTGTGCCTCCATACCTGTTCATGCCCTCCCCTGAGGGGTGCCCACTGTACTCCCACCACCAGCCTCTCCCTCTGAGCCAGAGTCCCAGACTGAGGCACAGTAGAACCACCTGGGGCACATTTTAAAGTCCTGGTGTTCAGCTGCTCCCAGGACAAATTAACTCAGAAGTTCCAAGGGTGGGAGTTGGGTATTGGTATTTTTTAAAGATCCCCAGATGATTAAATGTGGACAAAGCTTGGGAACCACTGATTCCACCCTAAAATCACCCAGGGGGCTCTAAAAAAGCCACAGGCTGGCCCCTCTCTGAGGTTCTGTTTTAGCTGATGTGGGGGCGGGTAGGTACGGTTTTAAAAGCTCCCCTGGCGATTCTAATGCATGCCAGGCTGGAGCGTTACCATTTTACAGTTCAGAAAGCGCCTCCATTAGCGCTCCCTCGCTTCCTTCCGAGACATCTCTGGGCCGGGTCACATCAGCTCCATTTCTCAGATGAGCAAGCAAAGGCCCAGGAGGTCGCACAAAGCTTGCCCTAAGCATCTCGCAAAATGCCAGGATCTCTGGAAACCTGCTCTGGTGCTCCTTCTCCACCTGCAGACCGGACTCCCCACCTACAACTTCCGAGAGGCCACAGATCTGAGCAGAGGCCTGGAGTCTGACAGAACATGCAGGACTAACAGGCCTTCTCTCCTCTTCTCCTCCCAGACAAAAGGTGACTCTCCACAGCCTAAATGCTGGGGGCAGGAGGCCCCACGTATTCATCTTGCTCCACTTCCAGTCTCACCCATCCCATTCCTGTCCCCAAACTGGCTCCGGTAATCAATGATCAGGTGCTGTGCAACGTTTCACCCCACAGGGGCACCTCTGAGAATAAGGGGGCATGTTCTCAATAATTACACTGAGTGGGAGAACAGGAGTGGAGAGGACACATGGTCACCCTCCCCGTGAGTGCACTGCCTTCCAACCCAGGTACTATACTTCTCACATATCTGCTGTGATTATTGCCCAATGTCAAAACATTTGCTGTGCAGCATTGGACTTGTTGTTTGACCTCTCTGACACTCCACATTCTCATCTATAATAAGAGAATTGGAAGAGTTTCTAGACTTGTCATCAGAGTGAAATGAGATGAGGTCTTTCTGGAACAAGCAGATGTATAATAAACAACGGTGTTTGGGGCGCTAGCTCACCTGGGAACATGTAAGCTTCCACAGAACACATACACAACTCATACACATATGCAGCCAAATGCACTGCACCCAGGCAGGCTTGCACACCCACATTCACTGTGCAAATCAGACACAGTGGGTTTGGCTGGGAACTTGTCTAGACTCCTTGCCTGGGTCCAGTGGCTGTGAGTCCCTGTGGGCTGTAGCCACTAGGGGGCAGCATACCACTCACTGACCACCCACCCACCTCATCAGGCTCCCTCCTCCCCTGGCCCTGGAGGAGCCCATCTTTCAAAACTTCCATACACTTTGTCCCTGGCCCACCCGCCCTCGCCAAGCTCCTTGGGCCTGTAAGAAGGACAGAGAAGTGAACTGATCGTCCTTGCTCAGGTACTACTCAGGGTAAGAGGCACCCAGATCCAACCCCATCCTCCCAGTGTCACTGAGGGATCCTGCTGCAGAGCTGCACAAGTCCAGAGTACACAGGACCTATATCAAAAAATATCTTTAAAAAAAAAAAAAGTGAACACCAAGACCACTACCTTAGAGGGCTGAGGGCCTATAGCTCAGACCTGGTTCAAATCCTGTGTCATCACCTCCCAGCTGTGGGAACTCAGGTCCCTTTACTTACCTCCCCCTGTGGGGCTCATTCTCTCAGGGCTCAATGTTTCTTTTGCAAGGAGGGCTTCCCCTCCCACACACTTTAAAGGGCTGTTTCCCTTCCCCACAGCACTCCCTATTCTTTTTCTTATGTTTTGTTTCTCCTGCACTTTTCCCTTCTGACATAGCCCATGATTTATTTATCTTGTTTATCATTTGTCTTTCCATTAAACTAAAAAGTCCAGGAGTATTTTGACTCTTCTCCACTACCATATCCACCATGCTGAGAACAGAGCCAGGCGTTCTTGAGAGCCAGACTGGTGTTTGTTGAGTGAGTAAAGGAAACCAGAGTGGTTACAGATGGTTTCTGTAGAGAAACTCCAGACCACTGGGCATCAGGACTGGCCCCAGGACAGGTAGGGTCAGTTCAGCCAGGTGGGCTACTCTAGGGATGTCCACATGAACTTTAAAGCCTCCTACCCATAAGGTTCTCTGTGTGGCATCCTAAACTGGCTGTAGCTCTATCCCTTCAGGTCGCTGGACTCCCAACTCCGCTCTCAGGCACCAGTCCATCTCCGTGCCGCCAGTCACCACCCACCCTGGAGGTCCCTGTACCAGAAGACCCTGTGGTCCTTAAGACAGCCTCTTGCCTTTTTTTTGCTGCGGTACTGGGGCTTGAACTTACGCTCTACCACTCGAGCCACTCCACCAGCCCTCCCCTGACTTGTCTCTGACAGGCTTTTCCTCTAGACCTCCCCAAACTCCCAGCCCAAGCCTCTCGTCCCGCCTCCCAGGGCCCCGCCCCCCAGGACCCCGCCTCCCGCAAGCCCCACCCACAAGGCCCCGCCTCCCGCAAGCCCCGCCTCTCCAGGCGCATGCTCACTGGTGCACTTCTTGACGTGGCTGCCCTTCTTGAGCGCGTGGCGGCTCAGCTTGCAATGGAAGTTGTCCTCCCAGAATTCGGCAAACCATATGTTGCGCCGGTTGTTGTCCAGCGTGCGGCTGGAGAAGTAGCGGTCGAAGCCTGGCAGAGAACCGGGATGTCAGGGTCTCGCACCACTCCTTCCCCACAGGCCCCCAGGTGGAGGGATGGAAGAGCACATCCTCTGATTCAGGGCCCAGCCGGCAAAAACAAAGCGTGGAGCATTCATTTCATTCAAATGAAAGGAACTGGATTAAATCCTGGGGGAACATGTGTAATCTACAATCTCTGCCTTTATGGAAAGGAAGTACACCAATGAGGATGGTTCTGGTCCTTAAACCACCAATGTTAACATCAGGCCTCTGAGAAGGAGCCACATGGGGGCAGTGATTGGTGGGCTGCCCAGCAGGGAACACCTAAAAAGGACCCTGGACATAGAAGGTAGGGGGTCACCCAAGTCACACTGCAAGACCAGCACCTGGATCTTTCCGCCTCAAATCCACACTGTCGCTGTGGCTGATATGCTGCCTTCCTCCTTTACATGCTCTGCAAGACTCTCAGCTCTGATACACCAAGCAGCCCTGTCCCGGAGCTGGCAGCTGATGGGAGCAGGGCCCCCTCCCTCTGCCCAGGTGCCGCCTCTGCAGCACTGACTGTCCTGGACACAGACCAGTGAGCTGCTTAAGATGGGCCAGAAGGGCTGAGAACACAGTGACACCCACATTGAGTGCCAAGTTCCCTGTCCATGTAAGGGTCCATGTGGAAGTCAAATGACTATCAGAGCTGCAGGAAAAACTAGCATTGAGAAAGGATGGGTTTGGCCTACAGCAGGACTTCTCAGAATCGGCACTACAAAGTGTCGATACACTTGGGACCAGGTAATTCTTTGTCGAGGGGGACTGTCCTGTGCACTGTAAAAGGTGGAATAGCATCCAAGGCCTCCATTTACTACATACTAGCAACATTACCCCCTAACCATGGCAACCAGAAATGTCTCTCGCCATTGCCAAACGTCCTTTGGGAGGCAAAATCACCCCCCAGATGAGAACTATTGTTCTAAAAACTGCTCTAATGTTCCAGAGAGAAAAGGTACTTATCAGGTAAGTCCTGGGTTCAGATACCAGCCCTGTCACTCACTGAACAATGTGAGCCTCAATGTATCCATCCACAAAGCATGAGTCAGTCAGAGTGTATCACAGGGTTGCTGGGAAGACTAAACGAGGTATCTGAAAGGGGCCTGGAATCTGCTGGCACCAATAAGCCACAGCTATTGTTATTTTTGTGCTTATCATGGCTTGGGGTTAAGAGGGTGGTATGGAAACTTCCACTGCCTGTGCTCGCTCAGGTAACCAGAGGACACTGCTGTGTGACCTTGGGCAGGTCTCTCCCTTCTCAGGCCTCCCTCTCTTGGACAGTGTGATGGAGGGGCTGATGCCTGAGGTCCCTTGGGGCCATCAACGCTGGTTCTACTGAACAGAGGGTAGTAATGGAGAGGGCCTGGGGAGCCAGCCTCCCCCACCCCCGTGGTAAAACCGAGGTCCCTGCCAAATCAGTCCATTAAGGGGAACTTCACGCCTCATGCCTGCAAGGTTCTGGCCAGAGCAGTTTGTCCCTGCCCAAGGTGACTACGGGCTTTGACCCTGGAGGAGGGGGTGCAGGGAGGGCAGGCCCAGTGCTATCCAGGGCCTGCAGACCCAGACCATCTCTGCAGGGAGATGCCTGGCCCTTGCTCTCTCATGGGGTCCTCTCTGGGGGCCTACTGGCCACCCCTGGGCCTTCTAGCAGAGATGTCTCTTCAGATAGGGCAAGGCCTCGCCACCTGTGTACCAGGTGGGAGAAGGGGTGTCACTGTACAGGGTGAAGGAAAATCCTTTATGGCTGAGCCTCCTGTATGTACCACACACCTCCCACACCCGGGAGTATCTGAGAAGACAGGACAAATCCTAAATCTGCACTCAAATTCTGCTGGATAGGTATGACTCAACAGGCTTCCCAGCTCAGAACCTTGGGATGCCAACAGGGTGTGGACCAAGGAAGAGCTGGGAAAGATGTGGGAAGATGGGGACCAGGAGAGGAAGGAAGTGGAGGAGGGACAGTAAGAGTCTCGTATGATATGACAGTTGGTGGGTGAGTGTGAAGGTCCCACCATCTGGGGCTGCCAGGCCTACCTCGCACAGACATCCTCTTGGGGAGGATGGTGACAGCACCCTCCGCCACCTCCTCAAGGTGCAGCACAGGTGCACTCTTGGAGCCCCAGCTGTCAGAGCCCATCCAGAAGAAGTGGCCGGTCTGGTTGGCCCTCCGCGCTGCCTCCAGCACCCGCCTGTGGGGACACACACCAGCCCAGCCCAGGTGTGTCTGGCCACACAGCTGCCCCATTCCTGGCCATACCTGCTTGTGGGCCCTTGGCTGATATTACACACACACACTTGTTCCCCTCACAGCCCATGCCTGTCCCCCAGACTGCCTGGGTCCCATCCCCTGACCCACCAGAGCCAGGGCCCACAGCTGCCCATAGATCACAGCTACTTTTCTCACTCTTACCTGTCCCCCAAGCTCAGCCCTGTTTCCCTGGGCCCACACCTAACTATACACCCACATCTGTCCCTGCAAAGACCACACTTGTCTCCCCATGTCTGCCCCAGACCCAGAACTACACCTGTCCAAGCCTGTCCTCTCAGACTCATGCCCGCCTGCCACCATGTCACGCCATATATATATATATATACCTATTGTCACACTCAATACGTTCACACACACACACACACAATTCTCTCTCACACTCACACTGACGTACACTCATATACACACAGACACACAGACACACACACACACACACACACACACACCCCTGCCTCTGCATATGGTGCCCCACCACAACATCCTCTCCATCCATGCCCTTCCATGCCAAAATCCAGGTCCTTCAAGAGCTGCTCCCATCTCTGCCTCATGTGGCAGGCAGAGCTGTCCTACTTGACAGTGACAAGTTTGATCAAGACATCAAACCACAGACTGGGAGCCCAGGACAGAGCCAAAGAGCCCTGGGGCATGCCATCAGTCTAACTGGATGCAGGAATGGAGTGGCCCTTGGGAACATCTCTCGTGTGGGGAGGGCCAGGATGAACAGGCAGAATTCCCTTAGCCCAGTAGCACATGGGGAGGAGCTGGAGCAGAAGAGGCAAGAACATTGCGTGTAAGAGGTTGCCACACCAGAACTGTCCCTGCCCTTCCACCTGCTGGGCCTGTGCCTCCAAAGAGACAGGCAGTCCAGGTCCCAGCGCTGCACCTGAGCCAGCCTGTGGTCATCCTTCTCCCACCCTGCCCTCCTCCCTCCATCACTTCCCGCTGCTCATTGGTTAGCACTAATGGTGGGGAGGGGTGCTGTTCTCCAAACCCAAACCCACAGCCCTATTAATACCACCTGCATCTGGCCAGCCTCAGAGGACCAGAGCTCCCAACCCCACAGCCCTGCAAAGTCACCTGTGTGTTTATTTTTACTTCTGTTGGCTTCTAAAAATGCATGTCGCTTTCCAGAAACATCCCTGCTTCCCAGCACACTGGCTGCCCAGCCCTCTTCCCTATGCCCTAAGCTCATCCTATGTGTGTGGGAGGAGGGGTGCTGAGCAGGGGCCATTTACTGGGCACCTACGTCATGCCAGGACCTGCTCAAAGCCCTTTATGCACATTTCTGCATCAGTTCTCAAACACAATCAGGCGGCAGCCTTAGCTCTTTTTTTTTTTTTTTTTTTTTCTCTTCAGCGAAGAGGCCCAGAGAGATTAGGAAACTCACTGAGATCACAGTGAAATTTGAACTAGGTGGTCTGGTCCCAGGCCAGCAACCTTTGCCCCTTCACTAAGGCACCCTGCTTGCTAAGGGGGTGAACATGGAGGAAGAGAAGGGAGCCCCGTTAGCAAGGATCCTGGCCCAGTCTGGGGGTCTCCTCCCTCTCACATTCACTCACCCATCCACACCTCTCAGGATCCCAAGTAGGGTCGGCTCGCCTGGGAAAGTCTCCAGCAGGGCAGGACCTGGGGCTCCCACCCCGCTGCCTCCCGCCCTCACCTGATGTCATCCTCATTAGCGAAGATGATGACAGCCCTGGCGTTGGATGTCTCCAGGAGGCGCTTGATGATCTTGTCGAACTCACCCATCTTGGGCTCCCGAGGAATCTTCACTGACTGGGCGATGCACACACCTCCTGCAGGAGAGGCACCAGTCAGCCTGGGAGGGCAGGAAGCCCCAAATCCCCAAGGTTCCCTCCACCACATACCTCAGGAGATGTGGGCTGACCCCCTCCCAGCCCCCAAGACACAACACAGTGGGCTGTACAATCAGAACGGGCACAGCACACGTACGGGCTCCACTAACTAGCTGGTTACCCTGGATGTGTCCCTTAAGTGCTGTGTGCCTCAGTTTCCCTATATAGAAGCTAGACACAACAAGAGACTAATAAGAGGCAGTACAGCCTCATGCTTAGGAGCCAGGCTCTGCTAGTTATACTGTGTGACCTCAGGCAGTTACTAAACCTCTCTGTACAAATGCTTGGCAAATGTTGGTTATTTTACTGTCACAATCTCAGAAGGTTTTTTTTGGAGAATTAAATCTGAGAATGAGAGTCACCCTGGCCATTGGCATCCCACAGCCACATCCACACACCTCCGAAGGCCCCTACACCCATTAAATGCCCTGGGTGAGGGCCACTACATGGCTGCTGACTGAAGCCATCCAGGACAGATGCAGTGTCCCCGTAATTCACACCCAGGCTGTGTAGCCATCAGACACGCAGTTCCCAGCCTCAGACATGCCCCTCAAGTGAGTGCTGGTAGAGGGCAGGTGTCATTCATGTATTTAAATTCCACCCCTGTGAACCACAAATATACCGCCAGCTGCATCTGACAGAGAAGGAAACAAAGTCCAGAGATGGGGCTTGCCTGATGTCACATAGTGACTGCCCTACCAGGGCCCCAGAACAGGGGACCTCACAAAACAAGACCCTCAAGGCCTACTGGTAGTCAGGGCTCAGTCTATGGAAAAGCATGAGGGATGAATCTTCATGAAACCACACCCTTTATTTAACCACCCTCCTCTGAGTCACACTCAAAACAGGGTCCTATCTGGGCCCAGCCCTGCCTCAAGCTGCCCACTGTGGTAGGACCCCTGGCTGCTCTCTGGGTACCCTGGGCCTCCACCTGAGCACTCTGCACAGACTCAATGCCCAACGTATCTGGCATCTCTGCAGAGGCCTGGCTGTGTAATGCTCACGGTGCAGGGGGACCTTACCCAAGAGCACTACACCCATGCAAGGCCTACCCATGACAGGGAGGTGCTAATCAAGGAAGTTTGTTCCAATGGGAACACCTAGCTGACAACAAGAGGGCAAGAGGTGTGAGCAGTCAGGTGGTGGGACATCCAGGGAGAAGGGGCACACTTACTAGGAGTGGCTAGGCCTAGGGCCATGGAACACAACACACATGCACACACAAATTTGTTGGTCTCTCCTAAGCCCCCCACGAAGTTCCAGATACCAGAGAGGAGCATGGACACCGAAGCTCATAGGCGGAGTAGCAGGAACTAGGGTCCCAGACAGGCCTTTGACCCCTCACACAAAGCCCTGGAGCAGCCTGCTGCCTGTGCGCGCTGGCCATGCACTAACTGTGGCGGGAGGTGCTCAGCTCCCAGCTAACCCCTCCATATGGTTTCCTTCCAGTTAGAAAATAGGCCAATTGTGACATTTCTCCTCCCATCTGGGAAGACAGATGGACAAGAGGAAGAGGCTGGCCTGGGGGTTTCGGGGGCAGACAGGCCACCTGGCTCTGCAGGGAGGAGGTGGGTGAGGGGTGGGAGTTAATCACTCTCAAACAAGGAGAAACTGTTAGCTCAAGCCACACTTCTGAAATGCTTCCCTTAGAGGGTCCACATGCTGTCCCACCTGGCACTCCAGGGCACAGCTTGCAGGCTTCATTTTGCTGACAAGAGGATGAGGGAGAACGTGAGGGGCTCTGTCACAGGTCTTAAGATGCATATATGGTCTGGGCAGTGGTCGATATTCTCGCAACTACAAGAGGGGACTCTGGAGGAGTGGGGATGTTTGTACAATGCTCTTTGACACTAACGAACATTTGTGTGGCCCGTGCAGGGTGTTCTGCAAACCCCACATGGACTTGCTCATCTGAGACCAGCGTCATCATCACATCTTCAATGTCCAGATGAGGAAACTGAGGCACACAGAGGTTAAGTGGCTTCTTCTCCCTTCTTCCCCCACCCCCCAGGCCATAGAGATAGTCAAAGGGCAGAGCTGGGGTCTAAACTCAGGCCATCTGGCTCCAGAGCCCCCTGTCAGTCTGATATATGAAAGGGTCAGGTGAGAGTCAAAGGAATGGGGGCAGGGCGCAGGAGCATGGGGACAGCCAAGCACAACCTGGGGCAAGTGCCCACTGTGTCACTGCTTTCAGGATGAGAAAACAAGTGCCCATGGGTCTCTTGGCTTCACTGTCATGGTGACCGTGGCTACTGTTGAGGGGAGGAAGGACAAGGAACCCATCAGGGGCTCTCCTGGGGTGGCACAGCTCTACCTTATTTCTCTCCTGGTCCCCTGCCACAGTCAGAAGGTACTGGAATGGTCACTTAGGGACCGAGCACTCACTGCATGTCTGGCACTGTGCTGGGCCTAGCCTCCACGAGCCCTCACACCCTTGGGGGCAAGTGCTAATATCCCATCTGACAGATGTGGAAACTGAGGCTCAGAGGTGTTACAGAACCTGACCTAGTTCACACAGCTCATATTTGGAACTGTGATGCCAGTCAGTGACCAAACCGTTCCCTCAGGCAGAGGCTCCTTCTTGTGCAGCCCTCCCCACCTCTCCTCAATTCCCTCTCCATCACCCCTTCTGCTGCAAAAACTGCACAGCACCCACCAAGAATAAAGGACAGTGTTTCCAACACCAGGTCCTCTTCCACAGCTGCTGTTCAGGTGGGTGGCTATACACATTAGTGCACATGTCCAGGCCAGATATACACACCAGCACCTATCAATGTGCACAACCACGGCTCACGCACCTGCATCCCAGCCCTCACCGCTGCTGACCACGCCCCATGCCAGCCCACCAGTAGCTGTGTCCGCCCCTTCGGCCAACACGGTGAGAATGCCCCTGTGGTAGGCTCGCACTCCCTGGGGATGCTGTCTTAGGACCCCTGCCCACCCATGCCCTTGCCCTCCAGGCTCTTGCAGTGAACACAGCAAGAGTCCACATGTCTATAACATAGCATATGATCAAATTGAAGACTGCGGACCCGATGGAAAACAAGCCCACCACTCCCTAGCTCAGGCAGGCATAGGACCAGGGAGGGCTGGAGGAGTCTGAGGTTCCCATGGCCATCTTTGCCTTCCCAAGTCCCCCCTTGGTGAGCCACTCACACCACTCCCCAGCTCCTGCCCAGCCTCCTGCCAGGACCCTGGCTGCCAGACCCTGACCAGAACCCAACTGCCACGTGCCAGCTGCAAATCCCACTGTTCCAGCCAAGTTCAGGCCTCTGCTGGCTGGACTAAGGGCAGGAAGCCACAGCCACTTGCCAAGAACATCTGAGCACATGGAGACTGTAGGACCTCCAAGCCCTCCAAGCCATACTGGATGGAAAGCCAAGAGACTGGGGCCAAAGAGGCAGTGCCTTGCCAAGGGCTCATAGCAGCAGGGGCAGGCCTACCTCTAGAGGAGGCTCTCATCACTGCCTGGGGTGGTTTAGAATCCAAGCCCCCCTCAGATTGCTTCTGGGCAGGAGCAGCCTCCTCTCCAGCTCTCAGGCTCCACCCAGGCTCTGAAGCTCCACCTCTATGGGCCCTGAGCCTGCCTTTCTCCACACCTCCCCCTTCTCCCGGTACCCTCCTACCAGCTGAATTGAACTCATCCTTGGTCCAGCTGGACATCTGCTCAAGGAGTATCCATCAGAACACTGGAGAGCCACATGGCCCTCTCCAGTAAAGCTGCCTGGGCTGGTTGCCTCCAAGCTAGTACTTCCTCCTCCACACTCATCCCCAGGGAAACCCAGGCACGTGGGCATGTGTGCACACAAATTCATTCCAGCACTGTTTGAGGTTGCAAAAACAGAAACAACCTAAATATTTTACAAGAGAAGAAGAGATAAGTGTGGTGTGTTCACCCAAAGGGATATCATGTAGTTAAGATTAATTAAACAGCTCCCATGTGTCAACATGACAAATCCAGAAATCATAAAATGGATTGAAAAAGCAAGTTGCAGCATGATTGCCCCCATTTAGGTTCAATTTCCAATTTAAAGACCACATATATCATGTATCCTTTCTGGACACAGCACACATCCATCTGCACATGTATATGAGTAAAAGCTGTGTGAAGGAAGGAGGTGTTCATTGCAATCTCCTTATACCAAGAATATAGTAGGTGCTCAGCTGATGTTTGCTGAATGACTAAACAAGAACAGAAAGGGAACCCACCACCTTCAGAACAGTGTTTCCCTCAAGTGAGGGAAGAAGAGGAACAGGATTGAGAGGGCACCATGGGAGAGCGTCCATTCTTCTTTCTTTAAAATAAAATAATAATCAGAATCAGAAACAAATATGGCAACCTGTAGATGCCTGTTAAACCTGGCCCCAGAACCAAGGCTGGACAAAACTCCCCCTACTTGCCCCAGTGCTGGGAATGGAATCCAGGGCCTCAAATATGCCAGGCAAGCACTGTACCACTGAGCGGTACCCCCAGCCCTGAACAAAATTTTCAGACCCAGTGACAGCAAGGATGGTCCAATTCTCAGGCAGTATTGCTTGACAGGGGACTCGTGGGGACACCTGAGCTTCCTGTGCTCCTCAGTAAAAGGACCCACAGCCACTCCTGGCCCAGCAGCATCTACAGTGCAGAGGGGGCCAGATGTGGTGCCTGCACCTGCCTTCTCTACACTCCTCTGGCTGCCCCTCTGCTCACAGCCCTCTGGCTCCTGAACTCCTCCCTTCCAAGAGGACAGCTCTTACCTAGACAGCCCCCCTACCAACCCATGCCCTCACTCCCTTCATCCTCATCCCCACACCTGGCCTCAGGCACCCACCCTAGTGAGCACCAGACAGAGATTCCACCAACTTCCCATAGTGGTTTGTGGCCTCTGCATCCTTTCCATTTGTGGTCTGGTGACCTTTCCTGGTGTCCTCTGCGCCAGTCGCCATGCCTGTAGAGT